GTTTGTAATTGTTTGTGTTCTTATCGGTGGGGAAACAGGTTTTGTTGATGCAGATCATCCTTTTGCACACAGCTTACAAAGACCAAAGAAGTATGAGTGTTTTCACTTTGGACCCCACAGTGCAGTGCACTATAGGTGCTTTTGATTCTGCTTACTGTATCTGAGGCCTTGGCTGCACATTTAGCTGCAGAAGCTTTTTCTCTGCAAGCACAATCTGACGTTTTTCTCTCTCTTGCAGCACAATTTTGGTGCCAGTCCCCTAAAATTGAATGCATATTACGCCAAGGCATTTCCTAAGAGCACAATAAAGGTATAGCCTATAGCTAATATAGCTATATACATCTAATGATAATACTGCATGTTTACGGATTAGGATGTCCAGTTCTGATTAATATTCTTTCTGCTGAGGAAGCAGTGCATTGTAATTTGAGTATTGAGGCTGGGTGCATCACTGACCGCAGCTGGCTGTTTGTTTGACAGGCAGTGTGATGAATAATGGTCCTGAAGCTGTGAGGATGCTTGGGCCAGCCAGTTTCTAGGCCAGCAGGAGTGCACTGCGCCTACCATGACACAGCACTCTCGTTTATTTGGCCTTCTGACAAAAGACAAGGGAAGACCTGTGCTCTGTTTTAGTGATAGCACACTGGTTTCATTAGCCCAGGCATATAGCACAATGGGATACTCACGGTGCAGAGGAGGCACTGAGTACTGCTGCTCTGGGGTGTCCCGTATTTCCTCCGGAATGCCATTCCCTTTGCTCACATAATTAGACGGGAAAATGCCAACCCGGTCTGCTATCATACCGGTCCACCATCCCTCATCTCCCGATACCAGGGAATCTTTGGACAGGACCTCCACCAGGTCTCCCCTCCGCAAGCTGAGCTCGTCCTCCGCAGTCGCTTCATAGTCGAACACGGCCGTCCAGAAGCCCGGTGCGGCGGGTCCCGCATCCGGCGCGGCGCTGATGCCATTATCCGGTGTCGGCCAGCGAAAAACATCTGCCTCTGCTACGTCCGATGAGGAAACGCACGCCTTGGGACTCAAACTATTGTCCAAAGCGGGTTTGAAGACTTCCATGGACGCGATCCATAGGGGCGACCTGGATCACTGCAGGCGCATCCACCTGACGCGGCTGGCTAGGCGGCTCGGAACGCCCTGCGTTTGCACACACACACATGCACAGCTAAGTAGTGCCTAATCCCGCACACAAACACTGCAGGAAACTGGAAGCACCATTCTGCTGCCTTTCAGTCCCCACTGGCTGCTATCAAACACACAGCTACAGCTTGATGACTTTCAATGCACAATCCTTCACCAATCATCGCTGTAACCCCTCGGACGCAGTTGGCTTTTTTTTTAAGCCAATTGTGGCAACGTGCGAATCACCCCCGGCTTCCTATTGGTACACAGACACGTCAGCAACAGTTCATCTCCCGCCCTCCTTCTCAGCGTCAAGTGCTGGTCACCCTTCTCACAGCATGAACCTGCCACATGCCAATTAAACACATACAAGGAAGTATTGCTTTTCTTCAGATTGTCTCCTTTATTTAGTTACTGACCCTCCTCAAAAAAAATAATAAAAAAAAATAAAACGTTATAAAATACTCAATCTAAGGTTAAATTCCATGCGTAATTCCCTGAAATAAAAACAGAATCCATAGCAAGGAGTAAAAAAACAGTCAACATAACAATCAAAATGAACAATTTCCACTATTTCAGTGAGGTGATGAGAGGATAAGGTGTGTGCGTGTGTGTGTGTGTGTGTGTGTGTGTGTGTGAGAGAGAGAGAGAGAGAGAGAGAGAGAGAGAGAGATTCTCGATTTTAGTTTTCTACTTTTTACAAAATTCCAACCTGTTCATGAAAATCACAAAAACAATAAACCCTAACTACTGTGTGGTAAAACATCAGGAATATACCGTAGTTTGAACTTCACCCAGTTCAGGTAGACACACATACATGTAATGCAAGTGTTTCACATGTTAAGTCTGCATGAACAAAAGTGACAAATCAACCAAGACTCCACTGTCACTTCAGTCCACTTTCTGACACATTTCACAAAAATCTGTTTGCTCATTTTGGTGTTTTGTTGTATAGATACAGGATATCATCTCCACACTTGTGGATGTCAGTGTAGCCACACGGAGGCAGTAAATAAAATGAGTATTTGGGAAGATGGTGACAGACAAGATGACGTGTGAAAGCCCATTTCTGCAAGAAAAAAAAAAAAACAAGATACAAATTTGTCATGGTAAAAATAAAAATGCTTATAGAAAGTCCAAATTTTTACTCACTATATCAAGATGGTGTAATAGTATACAAAATAAAAATGTTAATAATTCAAGCATTAAGCTTGCTAAATCTAAAGAATAAGATCAAATGTCTGAATTGTATTTTACCCTTTCAAAATTATGAAATAGTAGGCTAAGTCAAAAGTGTGAGATAAAATCCTAAAAATGTAGAATACTAAATTAGAATTATGAGATCACATGTCACATTTTTGGCCCAATAAATCAAACGTACGAAATAGTAAGTCAAATCGATATATAATATATATAATATATATATAATCGGTGATAGCGTTATAACTTTGTCAAAATTTGAAATAGTTAATCAAAAGTATATGAGAAAAAGATTGAACATTTTAGCTCACTAAGCGAATGTTAGTCAAAATCTTTACTTTTATGTCATAATTTTTAGTTACTATTTCATACTTTACACCCTGAAAAATTATGTTTTTGTAATGAGAAACTTTTCAAAAATTTACTTGTCTTATAGAAATATTTTTCCATACATGTGACAGCTGAAGGTTTGTTTTGCTTTTGATTTGACTTTTTTGATTTGACATATTTATATATTTCTATTTATTTATGTCAACTGTATGTTTGTCTACACCTTATCACCAAAGCAAATTCCTCATATGTGTAAGACACTACTTGGCAATAAAGTTCCCTCTGATTCTGAATCTGATTCTGATTTTACTTTGGAAACTTGAACATGAAACTCTTTTTTAGCACAATTGAGATCATTTTTGAAAGGCTTATTTTTTATCAGCCACCAAGTAAAGACTTTACTGATCTTGTGGGTGTGAAGTGAGAAAGACAGGACCCTTTGATAATCAATTAAGCTTTCATGTACCTGAAAAATGCCTGAATTAATTACAGATATGAACAAAACATCCATCTAAAGTGATGTTGTGGAAAATCTCCACACCTCCATGTCTCCAGTTTGGGACAACACTTACAGTACTCACAGTACTTTTTCACCGCAACATATTTAAACAGCAGCAAGTACTGACACAACAAATTACTGTTGTTTTGTGAAAAACCATAATTACACAAATCTTGGCGATTTCTGTCTTTTATCTTGAGTTAAAGGGATTTGGTTTGTCTGTGGAAACCTTTCAAAATCTATAATCTTCAAAACACAACGCGGTCAGGCTGTAAACAAGTCTTCATTCCTGAAAAGTTAACTTGGTGACAGTGACAATAAGATAAAAATAAGATATTATAACACCTAGTCAGATTCAAAAACACATAGTCAGGCTTGTTTTAAGTCAGTTCAACCAGTGTTTGCTTTTGAATCAGAAAGCTGCTTTTATTCCACTGTAAAAGAACAAAACGGGTTAATCTCAAAACACCATCAGCTTTGAAAATTTTCTTTTTTATTTTGACATCTCATTGCAGGCCAGGAAAAACATACCCATCCATTAAAATGTGCCATTTTTCTGTTACACACAAAAAAGTTAAAAGTTAAAAGAACAGTATCCTCAGTATCGCACAACATCATCACCAAGTCCAACTACTGTACGGTGATATTTCACTTCCATCCTACAAGCTAAGAAAAAAAAAAGAGACCGGTGCCTTGAGAGGTGATGTGTATGATAAATATTTTCCATCTTTTACAGAATTAAGACATATATTTTTAGGACGAAATAACAGATCCAATTTTGAGTCGTGTCCTTGTGAAGACCAACAACAACATTGTCTGTGCACACGAGCGCGAAGAGGCCGCACAGCCTGGGTTCAGCACGGCAACATGCACACCACACTAACACACACCGGCTGACGTTCAGCTCAACACATCCCAGCAGATAAAATCAAGAATATAACCTAATAAACAATTCAAATAGCCAGTAGAGGCAAAGATAAAACTAAGAACACTGGTAATTCCTTGACATTATGAAAACCTGCTGAACTCAAGACTGAAAACGTTTCCTGTTGCAGGATTTTAACAAGGGAAAGGGTGACAAAATTAGCCTTAGAAAAAATAAATAATAAAAACTTTAGAACTTCACACTTCCACTGACACTGGCTCAGATGAAGCGACTGCAGATGAGATGTGAAAGTTGTGTTGACATGCTTTCCCACCCAGGACACCTATACTGTGTCTATGTAAACATACACTGAAAATTATGTACATAATGTGGGTTTTTGTGTTGCCTCTGATTGGGACAGTCAGCCCATCTGCCCGTGTGCAGCAGTGGACCCATCGCTTTACTCTGAATGTGTGTGTTTAAATGTAAGAGAGATAGAGAGAGATTGAGACAGAGTGGGGTGAGCAGGTGTGGTCCAGGGCCAGGAAAAGAGAATCCGATTCTGCCACAAGACGTATTTACAACACTGCTCACCACAAAGGAAGAACACTGAGGAGGAGAAGGAGGAGTGCTAAGTAGAGAAGTTGAAGAAGGGATGACCACAGAGACTGGAGATTGACATCCCCCATGTGGAAATACAGTGTCACTGCCACTTACTGTCACTCTTTTTTTTGTTCACTTTTTATTTTGTAATTTTTTTTTTAAAACAGATGTTGCATCCCACCTCTTTGGTAATCTCTTGGGTGATTTTTAAATTAGCCAAGAATTGACTGATTATATAATAACATACACTTTTATGCAAATTAAGTTATAAACATATTTTCTTCTGCTCTTGGGAGTTTCAAACATGTGATTTTTTATCTCTCATTTTAAAAACAAAGCACCAGTCATGTGTTAAACAGCATTCATTATCAATATCAGGCTACTTTCAAATTCAACCTGGCGCTATCTGCTGCCCGCCCACGCCAGCAGCTCTCGACACGGCTTCTTCACTCAAGTTTCAATCCAAAATGAGCATCACTGACACCTACTCTTTACATAATGATCAAAAGTTGAAATAGAACCAACATGTAATTTATGAGTCAATTTTTGAAGCGCTGCCAACAAAACACCAACAAATCTGATTACTGAATCACCTTGATTTCCTGTATTGGCAAGAATATATTTTACTTTGTTAAAGCTGCACTAATCGATATTTAACAATGGATACCATGACTACATGTAATTGTGAAAAGTTGTTGGTCATAGTTACAAACCCACAAATAAAATAAAAATCACCCAACTCTTGTGGGCCCTCCTCACATGAGGACACATGTTTGCTCAGTCCCCTTTCCCCCTAGTCCACCACCCCTGCCCCATTAAGTAGCAATTTTAGCTAACTCCGCTGCATGATTCCTGCCCAGCACCAAACAGCAAACAAAGTTAGCATCTAGGGTGAAATAAAAGTGCAATATGTGGCAGCTAAAAAGTACGATATTCCCCTTGGAGTTGTAGGAGAACTAAACAGAGCTAAAAGGAGAGGGACTATTGGACTTACATTCACCAGGTGGCCAGAAACATCTCCAAATGAATGCTTATGTTTCTGTTTCTACTGGATGTGTAAATAAGCAATTGTTTGCTAACACATTCACCATAGCAACTTTATATAGAGCCAGAGTGACAGAAGAGCTGTTCCAGTGAGAAAACCTGATTCAATCTCACATTAATATTTGTCATAATGCAAATTACTACAAGACCTAGCTCAACAGTAGGCCTATGTTATTATTATGCACCAGGACTTTGGCTTTCTTTAAGGTTACAACATGGCAGATGTTGTGATTTCAGCTTTTTATACTGACCCCAAGTGGCCAAAAATCTTTTAATGCAGCTTTAAAAATGCTTATGCAGAATTTTAGGAAGAAACTCTTATTATTATTCAACTGAGCAAAGAGCTTGTCGGTGTGGGCAGCTGCAGCAAACGCCTCTCCCTCCACAGGCACTCTGTTCAGTCCATAGTGACACCTTTAATATTGGCCTTTTGCACAAGTACAAGTAGAAGTCTCCATAAATAGAACTATACAGCAAAGTGCATGGAAGGAACAGTAGAAAAATACCTCTGAATTTACCTCTGCAGCAACATGTTTTTTTTATTTTTTCAGATTTCTGATTGAAAAGGTGAAAACTCGAGTGAGACCAAGATATCAGTAAATAAATAAAATACAATGTCGTACTTTTACCTAGGCAAGATACATAACTCTTAGAAATGTGAAGACATCGTTCCAGTATATAGTTTGACCCCCCCTCCCCTCCCGCTTTGCCACAGAAATCCTCTATTGTTAGAGCAGAAGGTGACCACATTTAAACAAATATTCAAAATATACAGAAAATATGGAAATATATTATATATAGATACGTATAGAGTACGGAAGTAATGTTCAGGGCAGTGTCCACCTCTTCCTCCTCGCCTGTTTGAATGGTGATTCATCTGCCAGTATGAACTGTCACTGTCGCTCCTCTTCTTCTTCATCTTTGTGTGATTTCTGAGAACTCTGCAGTGCTTCTTAGGAAACTATGCAAATAAAAATAAATACTATGAATCCATCCCACCATCACTCAACAACATATTCCCATTTATGATATTATCTTTTGCTATTCCTTAACATAGATCAGAAAATAGTTCTTTTATTCCTCTTTGTGTGTGTGGGTGTGTGTGTGTGTGTGTGTGTGTGTGTTTATTTTTTTTGTTTTATTTATTTTTGCATTTTTATCCCCAAAATACTTTTTTAAAAAAGTCGTTCTCTTCAGATGCTGAGAAAAATATATACCTCTGATTAACTCAACTCTCTCCAGATATAAGACCTCAGTCTCTTCCAGTGGAATGCAGGACCACCCTGGCATCGGCATCTTCTGGACTCTGTGGTAACCCAATCCCAACTGTAAGCACACTCGCACAGGCTCAGGACGGCTCTCCTATAGCCGGAGCGAACAGGCCTGTCGGCACTAGAGGGCAGGATACACACCTCAAAGCATCCTTACAGAAGGGGTTGAGGGAGAGAGAGAGGGAGAGGGAGGGAGGTCTGGGAAAACCCCGGGTTTACCTCTCCTGTCCTTTCATACCATACAAGACTGACCCAAATTCCGCAGTGAGAATTCACTCTTTTACCTCTGAAGTTGTACTTTAAACCCCTGTATGTGTGTATCCTCTCACGCTGAGGTCTTTTCTGTTTAGAAGCCCTCTATATGACAGTAGGCCTCCAGACTGGAGAAGAGGATGTAAAGGAACCAGAGGCAGAAAAGAAAGGCTGATGTGGCCAGTCTGTGTCCCCTGGGCCCGCCCAGTTCTCCTCCGATGTGGGCTCGGCGCCGGTAAAGCAGCACCGAGATGGCAAGGAAGGCGAAGATGGTGAAAAGAGTGACAGAGAAGGCCAGCGAGCCAGCTTCCACCACGAACGGCTTCCCTTTCATGTGCCAGTAGATGGCTGCCACTGACCAGGCCAAGCCAATTCCCAGGAAGACATTGACAGCATTGCTGCCGGTCACATTCCCAATAGAGGCGTCTGCGTAGGTGTCCTGGACTGCTGCTACCTTACTGGCAAAGGTGTCTGTGGAGAGAGAAGTCATTTGTCATTACCATTTTCCTTTATGGTAATTTTTAAAAATGTAGTTGACAAAACAATCTCTCCAAAAGGTCCATGTAAGAGTTGTCTGGAGCTTTTGATTCAAAGTTAAAGGTTCAGTGTGTAAGATTTAGTGGCATCTAGTGGTGAGGTTGTGAATTGCAACCAACTTTCCAGTCTACCAATGTCCCTACCCTTTCAAAGAGCGTAAGAAGGCTGCAGTTGCTGACACAGGACAAAAGGTGTCGTCTTATGAGACAGCAGAGAGTGCCAGTCAAGAAATGAGGTTTCTTTAGGTAGATTTATTAAGAAATTATATTTACTTAATTATTCAGTAAAACCATGTTATTGTGACTTGGCCACTAACAGATAACATAGAAAATGTAAGCCAAGAGTGTGTAACCATGTCACTGTTTCTGCGCCACAGTCCATTATACATCATATAATAGATATAGTTTATACAAACATTGACAAGGGAAACAAGTTACTTCTCTCCGTGATTATGGACCCTCGCCAAAACTGCCTGCCAGCAATCATATCTGGCCCACTGCCAGATTATGGTGCTTTGATAGCGGCAAAAAATATAAATAAATAAATAAATACTTTGATAGGGGTGCTGAAATAGATCTCAGTCTTGATAGCAACAGTTACACACATAATAACTTCCTCTTTAATGTTTTTGCCTACAAAATAAAAGCGCGGATGCAAAGGTTATTTGCCGACTCCTGCTGTATATTATTACTTCTTCTACTTCTTCTTCTTTGAACGTACATATTCACTGTAGTGATGAGTGTCAGGCAGTACACTGCCTGAATTCTACAAGAAGACGAAGAAGAACTTAGTGATGAAACGCTCTCTGTAGCGTTGTTTGTCCCTTTTCAGCTACAGTAGAAACATGACAGCGCAACATGGCGACGTCCGTGGAAGGGGGGACCCGCGGTTATGAATATAGAAATGGCTCATTCTAAGGTAATAAAAACATAATGGTTTATTATGTAAGGTGTTTATACACCACTGAAAACATAGTCATGGATGTTATATTGCATTTCTGTCAATAGATGCTCAGAAATATTACACACTAGACTTTTCTGCATTTCAAAATATTGGCTTCAGCATGCATTGCATTTCTGGAGAAATACAATTCCGCAAAAAATACCATGATATAGAGCAAACAACGACACAGCAAGTAATGTAACAAACATAAGCTGTAGTTGCTGCTATGAAGTGACAGTGATTCTAACAACTCTCCTGCTACTATAGCTACCATCACAACAACAGCATGTCTTGGTAAACTAGAAAGCAAGCTGAGTGTCCGTGGACAAGTCATTTAAAGTTAGCTTACACAAAATCTTGGCTGGAATAGTCAATAGTAATAGTGTGGCGAGGTGCGGGCCACTTTGTTTGTTTCCCATTTACAGAGCCAGGGCTGTGTTCTCATCCACTATGCTATACTAAAAAATGAAGAGGGTAATTATTGTTGACTTATGCAAAAAAAAATTTCCGAAGAACAAGAACAATTTTCTAAGCTGCAATCTCAAGCCAGAGCCTATATGACTTCCTGAATCTCAAACTTTAACCAACATGGACGAGAAGTCCTGAAAGGACATATTTGCATATCAGTGTTTGTATGGATAAAACAAACAAGATAAAATATGTTAATTAGTGAGCTTTAGTTGGATTTTATTATGTGTAATTAGCTGTTTCCCTGTTGTTCTGTCTTATTACCAGTCCTATTCAGTCTTTATGCCAAACTAAGCTAAAACAATCTTAAAATCTATAATTCCATTAAAATTGAGCAAAATCTATCCAAAGCTGCTGTTTCAAAGGTCAAAGATGATCTTTCAATCACAGAAATCAAATGTTGGTCACCCTTTTCCGAGGACCCACTTCAAACTCATATACAAAAACCAAATTGCTCAAACTATAGGGTCCCATCGTTCACAGCTGATTGAGAAAACTGGATTTCAAAGCCATTAAACATCACTATACTCTTGTGTAATTCATAGTATAATTTGGATAAAAAATAAAGGAGACAATGAAGTTTATTAGTGTTGTTAGTGTTATTTAGTTTTGTTAGTCAGTGTTTCCAGAATCTTCCACAATTCCCGTTACTGTCACACTGTTCCCCGACATCTTTCAGTATCCTGAAGAAGATAAACATGCTGGGAGTGACTCTCTATATTTTCAATTTCTGGCCAAATCCACTTGTTGCTCAAAATATGATTACATTGCGAAGGCCAGTGGAAGCCTACAATCTTCTCTGTATTGGTCTTGTTTGTTTATAATATATATATATTTTTTTTTTCCAAAATGAATGCAGCTATGATTTATTAATGCTGCACGTAGGCCCTTTAATAACAAATATGCTGACAGAGTCAAGGTTTTTGGTGACATATTGTTCCTGCCGGGTGAAAATGTCAGTTTGGAGGAAATAAGAATATCAGCCATCTTGATGACAAAGCAGGTTTGCTGTTTGAAAAATCTCATGAAGTCAGAGATTTTCACAAACTATAAAGAGCCATATAATCCATCAAGTGACATAAAAACATTAATATGCAAAACTTTAGAGGACAGAAATTAACATTACAAACATGAGTGTTTCAGCAATGACGTGTCCATTTCTCACCTGGGACAGAAGTACCAAGTGCTACAAACACCACAGCAGTGACTGAGTCTTTGAGGCCAATGGTGCAGCCGAAGTGAGACGCCAAGTCACCAATGACGGCCGTGAGCAGGCCGATGATAATGATGGAGACGACGAAACAGGCCCAGCCGTTCAGGTAGTCTGTGGGAGGAACGCATGCAAACAGGACCTTCCAGAAGACAGTGAGGAAGTGCATGACGTAGTCGAAACAGGACGGCAGCCGTTCTTCCCCTGTGTCCTCTTCGTCCTCATCTCCTGGGGAGAAGTGAGAGCGAGCGGGGGGGAGGTAGCGGAGGAGTTTAGGGTGTAAAAGGTAGGAAAGATTGAAGCGTAATGGGATGACAGGAGAGAATGGAGCAGCAGAGAGGACAAAGAGATAGCAGAATATTTGGGCAAAGATAAAGAGTGAAGGCCGAAGGAGGGAAAGCAAATATTAGGAGAGAGAGCAAAGAAGACAGAGAGATGGAAGATGAAAAAGCAAAAGAGAATATGACAGGGAAAGAAAAAAGAAAGACAGATGATGAAGCACATAGTTGAGAGAGTACAGAGCCAGAGAAGAGTTGGACAAAGTTGGCGAGATAAAGGATCGATAAAGGAGATAAGGGATGACAGAGAGGGGAAGGAAGAGAACAACATTCACTTAAAAATGGCAAATTGTTGAGCGTGAGACATCATATCACTTAAGCCCGACGTTACTGTTGTGTATATTCAACTTTAAATATGCTACGAATACATTTCAAGATTATTAACTACCACGAAGCATGATTCATTTTTAATTAATAATTTTTGTCTTTTAATAGATGGGGATGAAGTTTGTACATACATTTAACTTTTGCTTTAGTTGGTAGGTTGCAAACTTTTGTTTACACATTTTACTGTTTCTACATTTTTTTAATAATGCAGAATCCATTGCCTGATTTCTTAAACTATTCTCTAATAACTCAAAAAACCTTCACTTTAGGTTAACCTTGGCTTTGGCTCTGTTTATGGGTAAATAAGTCTCATGTCGCGTTCCATATCCAAACAACACACTTTTTCTGCAGGTTTTAGTGTGCTCACACTAGAAATGTGAAGTATACTCAAATTAGACAGTTAGCATATATAATAAATAAGGTTTTAGAGGGTGCTGCTGATAGTCCCACAATGCAGTGCACAAAGGAAGTGGATCTCCCACAGCTAGAACGATCTTGGAAAACAAGCACAAGTATTAATTCATCTTAATAATTGGCTGTAACAGTCAGTTACAAAAATATGTGAAGGATGTTGATGATATTGTGCACTAACTGCTAAAACAGTATCTATGACTGTTAGTACTGTATGTAGTGTAATGTATGGGATGTATAGATTTGGGACAGACACAAGCTCAGTTTATTCTGGCTTTCTGGCTGAGTTCACGCATTGTGAACATTGCAGCAGATTTATTTGGTGGAACTGATCGGCAGGGTGACAAATTAGTCAAAGGGACATTTCCCCAACCTAACCTAAAGGTGACAGATTCAGTCACCTTCAGAACCCCACTCACTGTGAGCTCCTCTACATAAAAAGGTCATCTTACAACAGCTAAAAATGCATGTAAATGGTCACCCTCCTAAGTTGGAGGAGCAGGGCGTCCTATGTGTCCTAGCAGCTCACAGGAAACTCATCGAACAGGAGGGACACTGTGCTGATTCAAAGTGTCAGGCCATGTGAGTGCATGCATTTTTCAGCCATGGGTGGGTCATGAAAAAATAAAGAGCACCGCTGGATTAAATATTTCAGGACCAAAGTGACGAACCAAGGCCTTCACAGAGCTCACTACATGGTGGCTGTGACTGCAGCGGACACAGCGGCAGCTGCACTGCAGGCTGCAGGGTGAGCTGATGCTGCTGTCGCCTGACATGATGGATGAGTTCTCTCTTACATACATAAGATTATTCCACAGTTTCAAGACCCTTGCTTTCACAGAGAATTCCACTAAATGAGTTTTTCCAGAGACCATTATTTTTGAGCTGAAGCCAATATTTTGAGATGACGACATTCAATATGTGAGAGTTAGATGAGAAGGTTGATACCACTCATATCTGTCTGTTACATATGAGGTTACCGGCAGTAAAAGTTAACTTAGCATTAAGACTGGAAACAGGGGGAAACAGCTATCCTGGCTTTGTCGACAGGTAACCTACCAGCACCTCTTAAGCTCACTAATAATCACAAAATGTATTGTTTCTTTAATTTGAACAAAAAACAGTAGTGCAGTAGCTTCATATTCACCATACAGATTTGAGAGTGGTATCAATGTTCACATATAACTCTCAGCAAGAAGCGAATAAGCATATTTACCAAAATGTCAAATTATTTATTTTAAAAGTCCAAAATACCATTTAGAGTGTCTGATAATAAAACCTCCTGCAAAGAAATTGTCACAATGATATTTTGTTTTTGTTTTTTGTTTTTTTTACAGTACCTGCAGAGACTGTAATGGCCTCCATGAACTGTTCTCTCCAGGAGTTTGTTCCCACCACCAGTGCCAGGTTGGTCTTCTTGATCAGCTTGTCCACTGTGCTCTGTGAGATACAATAAAGACACAAGAATGGAATTTGTCCCTTATTTATTGAGAGTCTACCATCTGCATCAGTGTGAGGCTGCTTTAACAAAGTGAAAAGAGAAATACATGAGCTTCGCCACATGATGGCAGTGGCATCAAGTTCCAGGCAGCAGAAACGCTTGTTTGATGCATGACAAAACCACATGCCAGAAACAAATATGGTGGGTATATTTTCTGACTGAGGAGGTGAGAGGATACATATAAACCATATCTCCTCTGGAAATGCATCTATGTGGGTTGGGAAGCCTCTGAAGAGCAACAGTCCCCTCTGCTAAAATTAGAAATATGTTCTGTAGCTGTCTTTAAGGCAAGGTGGCAGTTGAATTAGTATCTGTTTGACTGCATTAAAAACATTGGTTTCAGCTGTAATAATCAGGCATTTGAGGCTGTGTTTGCTCTGTTTGAAGAGTAACCTTTCCCACCTTAAACTCGTATGATTCCTCAATAATGACTTCCAGCTTGGAGTGTTCCCCCAGCACTGGTTTTCCCATCTCTGCGATGCGCCTGGCTTCCTCCTCGTCTGATGTCATCTTCCTGTCTGGTACATCTGAGCGGAGAAGACGAGAGGGAGCAAAATAAAATGCAATCACAGTGAGAAAGATGGCAATCAAAATAAGAGGACGCTCAGCTGATTAGCATGTTGTGTTGTACTTCACAGCATACAAACAAAGCATCAGAAGGTTATCTCATTGGTGACAGCTTGAATTTATTCAGCCTTTATAATGTCCAGGCTTTACAAAGAGACAAGATTTTTTTAATATGCAGTTTTCAATTCACATCTGTCCGACTCAATCAGTGCAAAAGCGAACTATGACATTTATGGTAGTAAAGCCTACTAAATAGCCACTTTCTAAAAGCTTTCTCTGTGGCAGGTGTCTTGGTGGCAGTCCAACTTTGTTATGTAAAGGTTAGAAAAACTTCCATGCTTGATCAGTCACAAAACGCAAACACTGAAAAGGCAAATATTTAGTGCAGATCTATTTCTTTATTTTATCTATATTTCCCATTTTTCTACTTTTATCCGAAAGAGTTGGAGTTTACAATGACTTTCAAGGTCCCACATGTCATAAGGAACACTTGTTAAACCATGACTTTGTCAAGAAATCCTTCATTTTAAAAGTCGGTTAGCCCAAATTACAAAAACATATATTTTCCCTTTTTTTTTAGGTTTTGAGATATCAGTCTCTAAAATCCTGTTCATGTTCTCTTGGAGGGGGTTATTGGCCTACTGAGTGTTTTGCTCAAAGCAATCAGTACCAAGTGACAACCTTCCTGCTGACATAATTTTCAGTTCGACATGGAAGATTCAGGACGTTTTTCACATTAATCCAATGGCAAATACATTAACATTAATGAAATTAGTTTGTTCATTTAAGAGTTTTTATTTCTGTAGGATGACTTACAATAAGTCGTTCGGTTCTGTGGATCTTTCCAGTGAAAACCATTAAATATGTTCTTCTTCACCTCCGTTGTCTTCAGTGGGTTGAGGAAATGTCAGAGACAGGTAACTTAAAACCAAACCCCAAACAATCTGTATGATTACATACGACTGGGGATAAGTGAGAAACTGTGTTTTTGTGGTCTGGCAAAACAAATCCGACTCAATGTCCACTTACTAACTTTTTCTTGAGCTTTTAACCGTTTTACACGGTCTCCATCAGTGAATGGAGATGCTCAGTTGTCATGAAGATGGATCTGTTGACAGGTATCATCCATGAAATCATAACAGCTGTGGAACAGATCCATCTCCATGACAACTGAGCAAACTCCATCTGCTGATGGAGACCGTGTAAAATGGTGTTAAAAGCTCTAGAAACAGCTAGTAAGTGGACTAGTCAGACTGTTTCCAAGGGCTGGAATTAACTTTTGTGCTTGTGTTTTTTGTGGACCCTTTAAATGCAATGCAAATCTCCATGATACGGTTTCACAGTAAGGATGTGAAGTGGTGATTGTAGGGAGGAGCAAGAATAACAAATCAGGTACTTTCAAGGCCTTCCATTCAATGTCAGCATTTGTTAAGGCTTTATTTTACAATGTCTTTTATACAAAATGATTTCCATGGCTTGTGGAAGCCCTGATCAGTCCTTCTATCTGCCTGTCAGACTTGTTCTGGGTGGCTCTGCTGTAGAAAGAAGCCACAATGCTTTGCACAGCTCCTGAGTGCACTGCACACTACAAAGAGCGCCATAACATCAATTCTATATTGTCAGACTCTATCAGGAAGGAGTGGCTGTGCATCCAAAGGCCTCTCATCCCACTCTGTGTGTGACACCCCCACTGAGCCACCTGGTGTACAGACCTTGTCATCTTTAATACGAGCCCCGAGTCCCAGCCTGCTGCTCTTTGCTGACAACACGCTTACCATTAAATATTAACATTGCCATTAAAGATCATAGCCAAGTCCCCTTGATAGGAGGGCGTGTCAGCAAGCACACACACACACACACACACACACACACACACACCCCAACGCAGAGACATGCATATTATACCACCGCATCAGTCCTGTACACACACAAATACACACACACACACACAAACACAGAGGCATGCATATTATACCAGCGCATCAGTCCTGCACACACACACACACACACACACACTCTCTCTTAAGCTAAATCAATTACACACCCAAGACAGTGGGTACCCGCAAGTCCTGACAGGATTTCTTTTGCTTCATGTTTAAAATTTGATTATCCAGCCATTCCCCCTGCGCTGCACCATTACATGACACAATTTCCTTGACAAGGAAGGGGAAAAAAATAATAACACAGTCCCACAAAGGTAATTAAATTTCTAATTTCGGAACTGCAGGTTTTTATCTTGACAGTTATCAAGTGTCTGAACCTTGCTCTTGACTGGAGAACATAATTTATGGATTTATGATTAATTAACCAGCTGATTACCATGAAAATCCATCATTAAGTGTGGGAGAGAGCAGCAAAAGATCATGTGTTGTTTGTAACAATGAAAGTAGAAGAGGATAACCGCGTTAGCATGCAGTTTATTTATATCAAGCCCCTCAAAGTATGAGTACTGACTGAAAATCCTCATAAGCAGCAAAATAAACCACCTACTGTAATGTGTCATCCTCAACCCTCAAATTTAGGGCTGATGTTAAAACTACACCACACACAGAGAAGATGACGTTAGTGGAGATGCCTAGAGGAGGAGAAATGGACAACTTACCGCCAGCTAACAACAGGGCTGTGGGTGAGAGGGAAGACGAGGAAGTGGAGGATGAGGGAAAGGAAGAAGGCATGGAGAAAACAGAAAAAGCAATGAGCACTGGAAATGGAAGAAACATGCATAAGGAAGAAAGCAGGTTGATAAGGAGGAGAAAAATGTGATGGCCTCAGATAATGCGTATCGACCCTGAGATGTAATATATACACTCACATCTACATATATATACCACCAAAGCACAATAAAGGTTAATTAAGGGGAAAATGTTCGATAGAAATCAACAAAATGGTAGGATATTTTAAGTAATGATCTCTAGCTATCAGCATAACATTAACTCAAAACTTTATTACTCCCAGCTGTTGCCAGATGATTAAGTTTGGGGGTAATAATAATTATACATAAACCCATATAACAGTTTCAGTATAAAGCATTGGACCAATATATGCATTTGCCACAACTTGGCCTTTTAATACAATAAATCGGATAAAGCTACTTTTATTTCCCACCATTATCATGATATAAAGATAAAAAGTACATAGTGCTTGTATTTAAATAAATTAAGCTATAAATGTCAAAGATAAAACAGAAATAGTAATTCTAAATATATACTGTATATTATATAGATTTGTTTGTCCTCCAAATTGTTGTTGAATTTTTTTATATCTGAAAACAGATGTTAAATTGTGTTTTCTTCTTCTTTACAAAAATCACATTTGTGACACACACAAATCTTGAAATATAACAGTTGGAGGGATCTATATTGTGCAAGAGCCAGTTTTGCCACTGTCAATATGGAGGAGGTGAGGATGACAGGATTTTCTTTGACAGCTTCAGTTGGGGGACAGCGTACAAACGACAACAAATCCTGCTTCAACCTGCCATGAATAGCTGCCAGTCAGCCTAAAAACCTTTTTTTGCATGTTGGAGAGTTTTAGTGTCTCTTCAGAGGCTCTTCTATTCTGTAAATAGATTAAATTTAAACAGAAGAAGCACTGAATCCTTGTAATGTTTTAATTTTAATAATTTTTGGGACATTGAAAATGTCAGATTCACAAATAGTGAATTTCAAAAGTCAATATCAGTAAAATCACACATCACTTGGACTTATAATATCACACTTTTCTGTGATTTTTGTTCAGTTTTTTCCAGTAAAAAAGAACATGATTCCATGCAAGATAAAATCTTACAGTAAATCACTGAAGAACAGGTAACAGATCAAACAGAACAATCTGGGCACATTGAAGAAGCGAACAGAAATGCATTTTGTACAAAGAATAAATAAAACATAATAAACAACATAAATACAACGAAGGAGCTTGCTTCATATAAATTAAAAATTGTGATTAAACTTCATTACATACATTTCACCATTTCACTAATTCTCTCGATGGGCAGAGAACTATCCCTGAAGTACAAATAAAGCCTTCCAATGTAATCCAAATACTTGTTTTGATATACTTTTAGGAGAGATCCATCTTCTAATAAACCCAGCTAGTGACTCAGACGGTGAAAACCATTATATTCTATTACTTAATAGTTCTATTCTTTGATTTTAGCTCCATTGTTGTGTTGAGGATTTATAACTCTCTCTTTATTTTTAAAATAAAGACGGCTCATATTGCACAAAATATGCTGATGGTGAAGGTGCCTCATGCAGATGTTCAAAACTATCACACCCCTTTGTTAGCATTTTGATTAAGACTGTTTATCTGCATGCTGTGTTGCAGAGCAGATCAGTGACACAGCTAAACATGCTCAGATGCCCTTGGCAAAGTGTAAACCATAACTAAATTATAAAGAATAAAAAGAGGCTCAAAAAGTTATCCAGCGAGGCAGATAATTACATGACAGGATACGCCATAAGTGGATGAAGAAAGAGGAGAAAGCCTTCCCATGCCTTAACGCCTCTAGAGAATCATGTTGACAACTCTTCCTTTTGATGTCTTCATCATAATTTCTACTTACATTCATAAAACAAGGACAAAATGTTCACACTCCTAAAGGGATCAGAGGCTCTGAAGGACAAAGCAAAGCTGTTCACATCCTCCATGAATAGTCCGGCTCCTTCTGAAACCTTTTTCACTGAGACATGATACTAATTAACCTGTTTGTGTTCGGAGGCAGCTTATCAACTCCCTGAATCAAATACAGTCCACAGTTAATCATCATTAGTAGCTAAGTGCATTAATTGCTGTGGGCGACTTGCTTCATTATCATTAGTACTAGCCGAGCTGTGCTGATCTGAAGCCAAGTGTGGTGTAAAACCCAGCTGTGGTGAGTCCATACCCCAGTCAGTAATAACAGTATGTCATTTCATTCAGATAAAACAATACAAACAGGAACAGATGAAAGCAAACCACACAAGCACATACAAAATAAAGAGGTACATAAGCACAAATACATACAAATAGAGATATGCAAACTAACAAAGTACAAAACTAAGGCTTCAACTAATGACTATTTTTTAATATTCGATAAATCTGTTAATGATTCTTTTGATTAATCAATTCATTATTCTATAAAATGTACTAAAGAAAATATTGAAAAACAGCTCTGGTTGACTCACCAATACAAAGGATTAACAACAGAGTGAGGTCATATCTGATTCTTTGACAAAGTACCTGCCTGTGTACATAAAAACATTTCTTGGGGACTTTGACACCTAAGTTGTGATTCGACCAAGCGGCAACCTCGGGGGTTAAAATATAAAGCCAACCCAGAAGAGCCAAAAACTGCAAATCTTCGAATGGCCACTTGAAGCTGGCTCCAAAAGCGAGTCAATCCCAATGTTAAAATACCCAACTTTACACCGGAAATAAACATGTTTACAGCCTAGTACAAAAAACAGTTTTCTATAGCTCATTCCCCCATTCATGAAAACTATTCGGGAAGTGTATTTTTATATAACTAGCCTGTTTATTTTAAATGGCTGCTTTGAGTGACCAGTAGGTGCTGTGACAGGTGGCTAGCTGCAGCAAAGCACTGCCAAGATGACAATGATCGGCGCCACCCACATTTAGCTTCACAATCGCTCTTCAGAAAACAATGGGTGAAGTCATGGAGACTACATCCATGTTTTATATAGTCAATGGTTTTGACAAGAAACATCCAATCACAGAGCTTAAAATTCTGTTATGTGCATCAATAATGGTGAGCTAAAGCAAAAAATGACAAAACAATTTGAAGCTTAGATTAATTCATTTTTGGATTCTGGGTCAATTTTGGATCAATTCAGAAACTATAATGCCGTGTTTTGTTCATAAATATTCAACGACGAAGTGTTTAAAATTTTCTACCGCTCTGATTCGAGCCTCTGACTGGCTTCTTCTCAATAGCAACTGGGGCCGAAGTGAAAAAGCAAAAAAATCGGTTTTGCAATATTATCAGGAAGGAAATGCATTTAATACATTTTTTAAACCTCAAGGATACACACAATGCTTTTTTGGTGAGAAACACAGAATGTAAACATAACTGTTAGTGTACTCCACAGGTGACCTTTCATTTTCCAATTAATAATCAAAAATCAATTAGTTAACAAATAGTTTACTAGAGAAAAGCAACAGACATGCAATAGATGCAAACTTGCAAATACGTATAGACACATACACACAAACAACACAAACAAAGGTGTACATACACAGAAATACAAGCGAAGGTGTTTCAAAAGCGAAGTGATTGTGCCGATTGCACTCACAGTCCAGAAGGTTGTCATTCTGCCAGCAGTACAATTGCGATAGGGAAGATTAACCAAAAGGATGTAATTGGAGGGGTGGAAGAGTATGTGTATGTGTGTGTGAACATGCGAAGGGGTAGGGTGGGGTTTCTGTGTTTAACCGAATCAGATCTGTCTCGTTACAAGTTCCTTCTCTGGCTCTCACACATAGTCACAGCGTCAATGCGCAGCTAATGTATGCCTTCTCTCTCCACAGCTATTTAAGACAGAAATATCATTTAACTTTTCGGGCTTATTCTGGTTACCGAGGCCAGAGGTGGATCTGGGCCTGTGACTGGAGCTGCATGTTTGGATGGTTGAAGGGAGGAAAGAGGTACTGAAGAAGGGAGAATCTGGTGGATTCATGAAGGAAGGATGGAACAGAGATATGGCTGAATGGATTTATAGAGGGATAGAGGAATAGAAACAAGGGCCATGAAGGGACTGGTGGAGAAAAAATAAGTGGAGGAAGCAATGATGCAAAATGGAAAAGGTATCAAAGAATGGGATCTGAAGTAGTGGATTGATGGACACTTGTGGAGATTAGAAAAGGGGATAGAGGGATGAAAAGAGCAGTAGATATGAGGAAGAAAGGATGGACAGAGATGCAGGGATTGATGAATAGATGGAGGTGCTGGCAAATGTTTGACAGGAGGAGTGGATGGATGAATGGAAAGATGGATGTAAGAGGTACAGAAGAACGGAGAATCTAGTGGATGTAAGGAAGGTGAATGGATAAATTGGTGAAAGGATTTATGGGAGGGATAGAGGAATAGACTGATAGGGGGATTGGCAAAAAAATGGAACAGCAAGGAATTGACTATAGGAGGAATATTGAAGAAAGGGTGGCGTGTGGAGGAATCGAGGGATGGTAAATAGATAGATTGACAGAAGAATGGCAACGTGGATGGGTGATTGATTGAGAGATGGGAGGCTGCAGGGATTGGTTGAGGTGGGAGAGGAGAAATTGAGGGGATGGAGGATAATGAGCTCGGAGAAGGAAGGTTTTGAGTTATGGAGAAATGGTAAATGAACTGCACTTATATAACACTTTTCTACCTGAACAGGATAAAGTGCTTTATATACACACACACACCCACACACACACACCCACACACACACACACACACACACACACACACAGACTGGTATATATGGGAAAGGAGCAATGGGGAACCAAGTCAAGCAGGGATACTTGGAAGAATGGAAGAGGTACAGAATGAGGGAGAGAGTGGTTGGTGAATAGACTATAGAGGCATGGATGGATAAATGGAAAAAGGAAAGATTGCATATTGTGAAAGGATGAAAT